ACTTTTAATTTTGTTCCTTTATTGAAATTGTTATTCAATCTTGTGAAGCTAATTCAAAAGTATTGATTCTTGGTCCACCACTCTTGTAGTTGTACCAGCAGATCCTAATATTTATTTCATCATATCATTAAAAAAAATGAAAATAATTATTAATTAATAATGCTTTAACATATATACTTACATACTTTTCAAATTCAATTTGGCAAACATGAATACTATATACTAATTCTTGATGGGACTAACTCCATAGTATTCATACACTGCATTATTACATCATTAACCACATCAAAACAATCTAAATATAACACGGACCACGGATCGAGGATTCCCGATTCTGCAAGCAATAGAAACGTAAAATTCGTTAACGAAAAAAAAAACATCATTTTTTTTTTGTTTTTCGTTTGCTCTTGTTTGTTGTTGTATACACGTACGCATTATTTGTTGTATTCGTTACTATCTAAAATTAATAATTTCACATTTAGCCAAAATTGAGGGGACCAACTCCACAAGACAACCTACTTGTCCTCGCTAAATGTTCGTCTATAGTTTTCTAAACCAAACACCACATATTTTTTCCAGCCAAATTAACCCCCGGCGAAAACAATATATTTTAATTGTACGAAGAAAAAAAGAAGAAGAAGATAAGATGCGTGCACATGTAAGAATTTGGGAATCGAAAGCTTCTTCCCCGGGGGCTCGGGGACCAGAGACATTGGTACATATAGCAGCAAGTGTGTCGGAAATGTTCGACTTTTGGTTTTTGGTTTTGCATTTGATGTAATGACAATACCGAAGAGATCAACTTCTTGTATGTACATATGTTTTTAGCTGTTTCTATAGCCACGTGTAGGTGTTCGAGTTTCGGTACGTTGTAATTGGAAGTATCGTATGTATGCGAAGAGGCTACGATTTTTTGTGTTCTAAGAGTTTAACATGTCCACTCGTTTCGGGACCATTTTTTCGATCTTTATGTGCTGTTTGGAGTTTTGTACTTCATGTGAGAAAACAAGAGAGGGTGAGGCCAAAATGCTGTTACAGTGTATTGAAACTTAGGCCCAGTTGTCCAAAATTTTAACTCAGTGTAATGCCTAAAAATGAAAAAAGGGAAAATATTAAAAAAAAAATGAAAAAAAGGAAAATGTTAAAAAATAAAGGGGCCCTAAGATATAGGTCCCTTTGTGACAAAATTAATTAGAACTAAATGACAAGTCCAATTAAATCTCTGCTTCACATCCTTTATTAAATTCATTCCAAAAATGCCCCTCCACTCACAAATTCAAAATTTGCATTAAATAAAATTCAAATTGTATTTATCATTTTTTATTATGCATTCCATCTAACAATTCTTTTTCGTTTTTCACTGTAGCATTTTTACATTATTATAAGCAACTTAGGTTTTTTTCCTTATTTTTAACATTTTATTAAAAATTACAAAAAAAAATATTTTTCGTTTTTGTTAAATAGTACTGCAGATTTTAAAAGTAGTGTACTATCGTATACTATGGCGTACTATAGTATACTAATATTGAAAATTATGAATATTTTTTAAACAAAACCGGCCGTAGTCATCTATAGACACCTGTAGTAACCATAGTAATCCGTAGTCACGTACTCTTAAAACCCTAGCTCCCATTTTGAACCCTAACCGCTACCCATTCGTAGACACTCATAGTAATCCATAGACATTAGTAGTCATACACACTCATCCAATATGAAACCCTAGATCCGCCACAACCTCCACCTACGAAAATGGATCTCCGAAATCTGCCCACAATCATCGAACATTTTTTCTCTTCTTCTATGTCTCACTTTTCATCATAATT